CTGGCTCAACCAGTTGCAGAAGTGTCCTGAGCTTTCCTATGCAGTGCCAGCTGATTGAAAATGTTGAAAGGATGTAACTGCAAACTTAAATGAAGATATCATCCAAACATTTTTCTTTACTGCCCTTTAGGCAACTCTATGGCCAGACGAGGGCATTCATTTCGGGGCTCTGAGTCTCAGCTGCTCCTGGAAGTGCCTTTATGCCCCCACAGCCAGTGTAAGTGCTTGTACATAAACAAACAAGCAATTTGAATAAACTTAAAGTCTCTCTAAAGTTTTCAAAAGGTAATTTTATGTGCTTGTTTCTGCTTTTATTTGGTTGTTCCTTTTTTTTCTCTTTAATTGAGTGCGCGTACCGTAGAGCCTGCAGGCGTGTGTCTGCAGACTGTTCAGCAGGTCTTTGTTTCCTCGAGAAGCGGCAGCCTGGATGGACAGGATGAGTCGGGCAGAGAGAGCAGGGTTACGGTGGCCCAGTTGGGATAACTGCACAGGAAGAGATGCCAACCAGCAACACAGCACCTTACTCCTTCAGAGAGACAGAGGGAGGGGTAACATGCAGATGTGTATGTGAACCAAGTTACAGTAAGTTACTAAGAAACAATGTGTTGTCTGTCCTTGTCTCTGGATTTTAAGAATTTTCACTTGGATCTCGATAGACCTATTTTTGGGTCTAAGCAGCACAAACAAACGTGCAAATATGTTTTTGTTACATCCCTCTAGGCCTAAAACATAAATTATGTAGATCAGAACATTGTTCTTCAAAACCTGAGTAGGATACATTTTCTTGCCCTCCACTTCATTTACAAGCACAAAGAAGAATTATTAGTTTTCACAGAGGGTACAGTCCTGGATAAGTTAGCTTGAGTAAAAGGTCATTTCATGTAGACTATACAACAGATGATCATCATAAACACTTACTGCATTTGATTGGATAAACAAATCAGTCACTGTCAATGCTTACAATTTCTAAACTGGCACAAGTGTGGATATTCTGGAAATGACAAATTTCTCAAAAACAAAGCCATCTGAGTTTCTAATCTGGGTGAGGAGTAAGGGGTACATTTGGTTAAGCAAGCTTTATATCTACAATGCATAGTTTAAATAATTGGTGACAAGGTTTTTGAGGTTTGTTTCGATAGCCAGTGAGTTTTGTTATTTTCTAAATCTTCACAAAACTCATATGATCAGATTTATTTCACAAATGATTCACCTCAAAATCCTGTAGTGAAACCTGAGCTTGTGAAATGTCGTCTGGCTGATGTTTCTATTACGCTACTGTGCAAGGACATTATGTTATCTCCTACAAGTCGGTTTTTAATTCAGAAAAATCAAATTTTAATGATCAAAACAGATACAGTCCAATTTGTGGCAACTGCAGTGGTTATGGTGACAATCAGCTCTATACAGGTCCTGTAAATCTGCAGTTTAAAGATGCCACATGTAGAAAAACAATGACTGAAGTTACCTTGCAATGTGTGTGTGTCCTTGCTCCTGCAGGTAGAGCTTGCTGTAGAAAGACAGCAGCAGAGATCGTGTCTGTAGAGTCAGGTTCCTCTGCTTATAGTAGACATACACCGCTGCCAACAGATCCTCTGTCACTGCTGCACAAATACAAACACACATTGAGACATTAAAGTTTATAAAATGGACATTAAGAATGTCTTGTAGTTCACAAATTACCACGCCATAATTTATCTTTTCATAAAGCATTGAAATAAACACTTCAATTTGTGAGTGCATTCTACGGCCAACATTGCTTTATTAATAACACTGAACTCTTGTGATCTTTATTAAAATCGGACACACTTTCACAAAGACGCTGCATGTGCTTACTTTTGCTCCTCTTTGTGAGCACCATCTTCCACACAGTACCCAGCAGCATGTGGAGCTGCTTGTAGCTCAGTTTTACTCCGCTGCCCAGAGTGTCTCGGACAAATGTCCTCAGAGGTGTAAGCCAGTCTCCATCCGTCTCTCGGCCGAGTCCCTGCCTCTGGCTGAGGGACACCATGACCTGACAAAGTGTGATGTTTAGGGCCAGAGGCTCCACTGTCAGTCCTGGGACGGCTGCAGTTTGCTTGCTCCTAAAGGAAGGGCGGTGGGATTACAGGAGTTACAGCTAGTTTACAGCTAGTTTACGTTATGATTCAAAACATTCAAATTATATGAAGTAAATGGTTGAGTGTGTAAGTTCTTAACCTTTAAATAATTGACTTCCCCTCTCACATGATCCGCATTACAAAGTTTTACTTCACATTAATAAAAGTGGGAAGAAAGGATGCATTCTTAACACATTAACGTTGATATTCTTTACCTTTTGAGTTCAACCTTCTTTTTATGTTTGGGTGTGTCCAGAGCACCATAGGGAAAGTTTTTCATGAAGTGCTGCTTAAAATCTCCCAGGTATTCTTTATGGAACCAAGCATCCTGCACAAAGACAAATCCATTTATTGGTAAACCTTTTCTTGTACAAAAAACAAATCCCTATGTGATGTTTCTGCACTCCTCATCTCACCAGTGAATCCCTGTGCTCCTGCTGTGGTGCCAGTTTTCTCAGCAGCTGCAGAACAGACAACACCTGGAACATTACCGACATGGCTTCTGGGGTGAGCAGGTGAGCGCCCTCGGTGCTGTTCCAGGGACAGTCACCGGTGCTGGCTTCTACCCACACTTCTAGCAGAAGAGGCACCAGTGTGGCTGCAAAGCTCTGAATAGAATCAGCTGAATCCAGACCCTCACCTACTGCGGGTCCAGGGTCCACCTCTGGTCTACACAGTTAGATGAAAAAAAGAATTTGTTAAACTTAAAATATAATTTTTAAAATCAACTGAAACCAGGCTTTTTTTTGTTATGTCAAATGTTCATATAAATTCTGTCTCTTCCTATTCCTGGATGGTTAGAGAAGTTTGTGGTATCATACCTGAGTTTAAAGGTGGATCGTGGAGTTGGTTTGGCCCCAGAATGCTCATACACCTTAACTCCGACCTTGCTGTAGGTGAGCTCTTCCCAGGTGAGATACAGAGGTGTAATCCTGCCCTCTGCACTGGAACCAAACACACCTTCAGTTGGGACAAAAATATCACTTTCCTCCACTGGTCTTTCCTCAACTACTGCCTGCAGAAAACGCCCAAGCCTGAAATATAAGCGACACAAAACAAAGGGTTAGAATTGTAATTTAATATACTTTTCAGAATCAGCGTGCATGCACATGGCCTACATACCTGAGGAGCACAGAGAGCCGCCACTGCTGGCCAGTCACAGCCCTGCTAGGATTGACTGACAGTGTCCAGGTCCGTCCCTTAGCATCCTGGGCTTTTTTGGCTCCCCCACTGCTTTGTCTGTGAGATATCAACTCCAGGAAGTTAGTGAGGAGCAGTGCAGGCCGTGCTGCTAGCAGAGAAGGGTAGTGTTCCAGCAACACATCAAGGACCTTCATGGCGTCCTCCTGGATGCCTGTCTCGATGTGGCACATGGCACAAGACAAGTGGGCACTGAGGAGGTTGGAAAATGGAGCCACTCGTTCTGCAGGCACAGACTGTGCAATAAACCTGGGAGCATTGCACAATTTTAACAGTTTAGCCCATGTCATTTGAGGGTGAAACGAAAGCGAAGTGCAGTTTTTATTGTATTTCTGTATCACTGTTGTTTCACTAACCTGAGCACACGTGTAGCTGCCACGCGAACGTTGCCATCCTTGTCTGTGAAAACAGCTGCCACTTCAGAAAGCAGGCGAGAGAGATGCTGCTCTAACAGAGAGGGATTAAGGGACAGCAACTCTCTCAAACCCAACAAGGCACTATGTTTCACATTGGCACTGTAATGGTGGAGCTGAGACAGGAGCTCCTGGTGAAGCCGGAGGAAAGCGAGAGAAAGCAGACATATTAGAGTTGAAAAAAATTATTGAAAGTGAGAGCCTGCCAGCAAGTTTGCTGACATGAGAAACACAGATGCAGAGCTTACATTGATACCAAGCTGCCTGTGTGTGGTGGGGCCACTCGTGTCTCTCTTCAGCTGCTCAGTTAGATGGATTCTCTTTGAACGGAAGTTGGTGTTGGTGGCATTATCAGCTTTGGGCTTCGTCTTTCCCACCTTCAATTTGACCTTCTGGAAGTCGTCCTGTCTCTTCTTCTTCTTGGATTTCATCGCTGCAGTCTATACTGCTGTCTGTGATACTGGACATGCAGGTAGAGATGATGGAATTGAATGAGTGCATTGATTTAAATAAAAACCAAAGTGACCACTGGGATATGTTTGGAGTAACGTTAAGCGTTTGAAGCATTAAAACATACATTTTGCAGCATAAACTGCAGAAATCCACTCCGAATAGTGAGATTAGGGAAGCGTTTAAACAACAAGAGTGATAGCTGCACCTATTTCTGCATAAATAGCTTGTAGCTAACTATCTCGTAAGCTGGTCCAGCTTCATGCATGGCATTTCTTATTTTACTTACCACAGAAAAAAAGTCTTTTCTAATAACGTTGAAGTCAGAGGTTTACACTGTATCAAGCTCACTCAATTTCTAGAGATAAATAGTATTCCCCGGTAACAACTGTCAATACAAATAAAAAGAAAATAGGTATTCCATCTCGTGTTGATGCATGGGGTCCTCTGACTCTCTACGTGCCTACTAACCCGAGACCTCCTCGGCGGGGCTTACAAAATAAGAAACCTCTATAACTGGGACCTCATAGAGTGTCTTTAAGATGCCCTAACAATACATTATTTACCCACTTGTAATGAAAATGAATCAAATATAAAAATTTTCCCCACGTGTCCTGGACATTAACGTTTTCAATACACTGATGTTGTTTGCACCAGCGAGGTGACAAAAACGAGCGCACTGCATAGGTGTCCGCATATGTGCCCTAATAATATTAAAGTATGAATTGCTATTCCCTGACAAAACCCAATTTAATGTGACAATTTTGATTTAGTGTTGTTATGAGAGGCTGTTTGCTTTTATTTTCAGGCACAGAATAATAATATAGCGTTAAATTCGGATTACTTAACAGGCGAAAGAACTGCTCCCTATTTTCACCCAAACGGCTATCCGCATTAGTTACATCCTAGCTTGTCCGTCCTCCTGAATCGTGCTCGCTGTGTGCATTTATATTATATCAAACCTCGGGTAAGTTATGTAATATTATCTTGGTGTTTAACCACCGGAGAGACCTGTGATATTTGTTTTTTGGACTTGCTTAGATATTTTCCCAGCTAACGTAATATTGTCAAAAAACTGGTCAGCTCGGCCTGGTCTTAAACGAAGCAACACAGGCAAAACGAGTATATGTTCATCCAGATAGACCATAACTCGTTAACCAATAATGAGAGCGTGTATCTATCTTTGAGGGGAATCACTTCGCTTATCATTTTCTTTGTCCCACAGGGTGAAAACGGAGGAAATGGAGGGTCAGGCTTCAGTCAACCAGTCTCCACCAAAAAATGGGCCCCAGCAGAATCAAAAGAGAAACGCAAGGGTAAATATCACACACATTCAACAAAATAAACACTACTTAAACCATCACAATGCATATAATTACATTATCATTATCTCGCATGTATGGTGCTGACCGCTCATGAAGGAAACGTGATTTCCTTTATATAAATGATTCCCTTATTAATGATATTGTACTCTGGCAGTTGTGATGCCTGATGGAGAGCCAGGCGGCAGCAGTCCTTGACAGGTGGACTTGCTGCCAGCCTCTGTGCTCTCAGGTTTGGTTGTGTTCGCACTCTGATGTATGATGACCCCATTGTGTGGTCTTGGCCTCGCATCTGTGGCCTGTTGTCACTGTTGTGCACCGATTTTACACAGTTTAATTCGTCGATTTCACGATGCAAACATTTCTTCAGTCTTCTGAAACTGTTTCACGTTTTCACTTCTTCTCAGATTTGACATTGAGCTTCATGTGTGATGTGACCCTGGCTCTTTGAGCCAATTTCTAAAGGCAGGCTACTCGGTTTTTATTTCTGAGTCCTGTCACGCTCAAAACAAACAAAAAGGAATCTAATATTTGCAGGGCTCCTGGAGAGATTCTCTCAAAAATGTATGTTTTATAAGCCTTTCCTTGCATTGTTACATAATTTGTAAATCACCTGCATCACTGCAGTGATTACTACACACTAATGAAATTCAGTGCTTGAAATCCCACTCTTAAACTTGATGAACTTGCTGTATAAATTAATTCATAAAACACACAATGAATATTCACGTTAACTTTTATAAGCTGCATGCAACATTTTGAATTTACCAGGTGATTGGCTGCTTGTTTCTGACTACCGTCTCCTTCAATTTTCTATTGACTGATTGAAGAAAGGGTACCTTTGGGAACATGTTTTGTTGTTCGACGAGTGCCTTAGCCCCAGTGGTTGCCACTTTGAGGCTACAAAATATAGCAGAAACAACCTCCATATTTTTCAAAAGCTTATGATTCAAACTGACATCACTCTCCCTTTTGCTCTTCCTGAAAAGAGGGTGGATGTTAAGTTGTTATCACGTCATTTGTGTTATTGTGTGCTGTTTTCATCTGTTAAACTTAGATTCAGGGGTTCCACAATACACAGAAGAAGAGCAACGGCTCGGTGCAACATCTCAGTTTCATCCTCCTGGGAAAATTACTGAGGTCTTGACCTCTGTGTTCTTTAATGTTGCCTGTAGACATGTTTGCATATTGAACTTTGTGCTTTAGCCTTCATTCAGTGGATCAACTTTTATCTCTCTTCCCTATTAAACAAGTAATTTAGTGTCGCTGTTCTACATTCTCATTTGATGAGAATTTAGACTAATCACCATACATACACAATTTAGACTCCGTTTGTAAACGTGTCTCTGTGACTGTCGCTGCTTGATGCAGGGGTCATGGAGAATGAGGAAAATAAGGGCTCTGTGGCACATATAGTGTGGCGGACATGGACGAGGAGTTCAGTCCTCTGCTAAGTGTCATCCTGTCACTAATGCCTGTATGTGTCTCTCTCCTTCATGTGGGTTTATTCCCTCCATTGACAGAGAAAGCAGCATCCGCAGCATTCTGCTGATATAGGTAAGTCCTTTATGTACGGTGCCACTTCCAGTGCTGAGAGTCGAAGCTTGAGACCTTGTTTTCCTGGCTTCATGTCATGGGTGGTGGCATGTTCATCACTCTTTGAGACTCACACTCTCAGAGATGGGGGCTGTTGTGGTGCCATCCATGGCTTTGGTCTTTGCAGATCAGTGTTTGCCACTGCAGAAATAATCTTGCAAAACACAAGTCTCCTATTAAAAAATCTAATTTTGAACATTTAAATGGTTTTTTTAAAAAAAACAGCAATTTAAACATGTCAATCCATTCTCCTAAGATGTTGCTACCTTGAAGACCAGCACCATAAGCTCCGTTAGTCCCTAGCAACATCTCAAAACAGCGGGACATACAGTGATACAACCACGCCTCTTTGATGGTTGCAGATGAGGTTTAATGCACTTTGTGTGCTGTGGTGGTTGTATAAACACTGGGTTTTTTTCTCCATAAAATATTTTTAACACTGCTGAATGCAGGGTTAATTTTTTATTCAGTTGCTTGTGCTACACTGGCTTTAGTGATAACGTTTTGTATTACAGTACTTCTTAATCTGAGTAAACCTTTCCTGCTTAGCAGAGGTTTTTAAATTATGCAGGGAGTTTAGCGTGCGTTCACAGTTGGACTGCTTCATTAGTGCGGCACAGAAGTGATACAGTACTTCTGTATTTGGACACAGCGAGAAGCAGTGCACCACAGGAGCTGGTGTTTGGGCCTAACTAAATGGGGGTTAGCTAAGAACTGCTGTTCCCGTTCTTCCCCCCAAGGCTTTAAAAGTAGGCTTGGGGACTTTGGGTTTCTAATTGTTGTTTGGTTTATATTATAAAATTCATTGGCCATCAAACACTGCAGAAAATGTAAGAACACAACACATTTTCTTGACTTCAGTGTCTTTTACTATGATTTATTATGGTTAAGGTATCTTCCCCAGAAATGTATAACTAAGTGGCTCGCTGAACTAGTTTGTCGGACATGAACTTTGTTTGTCTCACTTGTTTATCAGTTGTGAATCATGATAAATCTTTGTGCTGACCACCGCTGTATTTTCCCAGTATTCACAAAAGGGACATCCATCCAGACCATGCCCTCTCTCAGCAAACAGTTGAAGGGTGTCACAGAGTGTATCATTGGTAAGCTGAAGGGCTGTTTCCCTCACACACATCTACTTTACCTTCCTCCCTCCTAATATTGAAATACCTAACCAGTGGTCATCACGTGTCTACAGGTCTTCAGTACGTGTGGGAGTACCGCAGCCCAAGTAAATCTGTCCCACCACACTACCAGTGTAAACTCTGTGCCGTCTCCCGCTTGCAGCATGATATGCTTGCCCACGTGAAAGGCTGGAAACACAGCTTCAGATACTTGGTGAGTATTGTTGGTTCCTTTAGACTGCCTCAAAGGCAAGATTATTTATTAAGTATATTTTTTATATTTATATATTTCTGCATTGTACACAGAAAAAGGTCCACCCTGACAAGGTCACCTGTGAAGAGGAAGAGGCCACCAAAGAGCCTACTGTAAGGAAGACAATTAAAGAAGTTGCAGCTGAGGTGGAGAAGACAGAGGGGAGGGGGCAACTCAAGGTGATTGTCAGGCCCATATCACTGCAGCAGAGGCACAAAATCCTCCTCGGTGTGATATTTGCTAGATTCTTGCCTATAATATTAGGAAATGATGCGTTGGCTTGGGGATATTGCTGCAAGTACTGGTGAGAAGATGAAATACAATCTAGGAAGTTCTACATCCATGAACTTGAAGGCTTAATATTATATAGGGGTTTATAATACTAAGAGGCAGGTCGTCGCAACTCTAAAGTTATGACGGCATTAATCATTTAATCTTCCATCTCGATGATTGTGAGGTAAACAGCCATTTACTTTATGAAGCTATCTATCAGTATTGTGCATGCTAGGTGTTTCTAAGTTTGAATTGCCGCAAACACTTAAGCCAAGTCTGTATTCTGTATTTTGATCAGGCCTTACTTATTGAAATGAATGAGGAAGTGGTTTCCTTGAAGCAGTGCAGTCAGAATGTAGCCTTACTAAACAATTACATTAAATTTTTATTTAACATTTAATAAAAATATCCCAAGTGTATATTTGAGTACTGGATGTACTTAATTTATAAGTCATGATTGTGGATTTGACATTTTTCTGTTCCTCTTGTGGCTTTTAGGTGATTCTGAAGGAGCCCTGCGAAGTACCGGCTTTCAAAGGACTCCGTAAGTTACTCTGCTTTAGTTTTATTTAATGGAATGGATTTGTTGTTGGTTGGTTACGTGAGTTGTGAATGTCTCTCATGTCCTTTCCTCCTACACAGGTTCTGCTGTTCCAAAAGTTATGCCTCCACAAGCACCAGGGATGGGACTAAAGGGACCCTCACCCTTTGGTGAGTCATTTTTTATTTTTGAAGCATGATTGGTGTGAGAGTGTGAGAGTCTTTTTAATCACTGCATTTGAATGTAACAAACATGTCTCTCTCAAAGGTCCCAGGTTCTCTGACCCGAGGTTTCATGGACAGTTTCCTCCTCAGGGTGGTCCTCTCTCTGACTATCCAGTGGGAGAGTATGGGGAGTCCGAGTTTGGAGGCTACTCTGCCAGGGAAGATTTCCTTGACTCTGGTATGGATCGAAGACCTTTCCTAGATGGCATCGGTCATCGCCCAGCTGGAGATGGTTTTGGACTGGGTGGTGGAAGAGATAGCTACGGAAGGAGTGGACTACTGGAGAACCCCCCTCCCAGAATGTATCCCGACGAGTACCAGAGCAGCCAGATGGGGAGTAGTTTAATGGACCGACCAATGGACAAGTCAACAGAGAGGCCAGGGTTGATTGGAGCAGCTCCAGAAAGTAGCAGCCCTCCTAATACGCTACTCACTTACCTGGTATGTCTCATTTCTCAAAATAGTCTCCAACTTAATATGTTAATGAATTAATTGAATGAATGAATTTATTTTTAAACATACAGTCACTTCTCAATTTATATTTTAGGACTCTTTCCGGATAGAGAACGAGAGTGACGCACAGCTAGTCCTGAAGGTGACACAGAAACTAACAGATGTGCTGATGGAGTACAGGCTGAGGAGCGTATCAACGGTATGGAGCTTGTTTTACAATCCTGTTCTCATATCATGAGATTTTAAAGATGAATCATTAAATCTGATCTAACCTACTAAATGCTAATGTAGTTGTAATTAAATTGTACCTTTGTTATTCTACTACAAGTCACTCTGAGCCAGATTTTGCATGTGTCCATATTTTTCAGTTGTTGAATTGTCTGATTGAAACACATGAAAGTGTATTTGGCAACATGTGCGTTGTTGCTTCCTTAATTTTCTCTTGTTCGTTTCCTCCTTAGGGATCCAGTCTGAACAGCTTGTCAATGAGCTCCACAAGCTTCTCCTCCACACCCTCCAGATTGCCAAACAGCAGTGACCGATACTCAAGTAGCTTCTCAGGTATGTAAGCATCCGTGACTCAAATCCAGAAAGTCATGTAATGTTTATTGTTGACTGGAAGATGCCAAAGAAAATATCCTGTTGCTCATATAAATATATTTTGATTTCCAAGTTATTTATTTATAAGTGAAGAATTTTTCTTTGTGCTGCCCTTTGATTGTGTTTTGGCATGTTGTGTGTCTGTGCAGGTCCATCCAGGTACTCTGATGTTACACCCAGGTATTACAAATGACAGAAGATGTGACCCCTCGATCGTCTCATCCCGTCAGTCACTAACTGTCCAGGAGTTAAAAACTTAGAATTTGTGTAAATGCTTTTAGGTTTAGGGTTGGGTTTTTTTGCTACCTAGTAGTTTTGTTTTTTTTAAGATTTTGACTTCAGAAGATTTATAACTTGGAAAGTCTTACACAAAGTGACTTGTGCATGTTTTCAGCAGCTTTAACATGTATGGCCATTTGTTTCCCACGGTCCAGTTCTATTAAATCTAATGGATAAAATGGAATGTGTGTGGTTTTTGAAATGTGAAATCCATTCATTAAACAAGGCTGCAATTGAATGGTTTCCTTAAGAACATGTAATTGAGTTCTTATACTACATACACAATGGGGCTCCAATAAGTTCTGAATGTAGTCCCAGTGCTGGAGACACTTCAAGATTTTCTGTGGACGTGTCAAACGCATAACAAATCCTTCCCATTATCATGGATTTCTGCAGCATAGAAGCCCCCAGCAGTTTCAAAGTGGGTCCACATAGCAGATGTAGCCATATAGCTATAACAAGGATGTTCTCTTTGGGTTAAAAATGGATCATAAAACAGAGCTCAAAACAATTTTTATTTTAAGATATGTTCAGAGGGAATGTGAAAAATGCTCAACAGTGGTAACGGAGCATAGTGCAAACAATAAGTACAAAACATTAACAATCTGCTACAATCTAGCAGAATTACAAACCAGAAGACAAACTTAATGGAAAAAATTAAGATCTTTGTCTTTATTCAAGCATTAATGTTCAACTTCCATAACCATTTCTTGCCAAGATGTCCTCCATCTGCTTCACATTTATGCAGGTAAGAAGCACTTTTGCCCCCAGGAAGTCCCGACCGTGGAGCCTTTGAGCCTGTTCAGCGAGCTTCTGTGATTTAAATTGTACCACAGCCTCACCAATACCTTTTCCATTACTGTCGCGCAGAAAGGTGATGTTATTCTTTTTAAGTTTGTATTTGCAAAAAAGGCCTTTTAATTGACTTTTCTGTACATCTGCGGGCATGTTTCTGACAAACAGGCACGTCTGAGCTGCCTGGTCCGGGTTCATGCATGGTGGTGCTTCTCGTGTTTCAACTGGATCTGATTTCCTCTTTCGAATTTGTTTCTTCTTTGTGTCAGTCTTCAGATCGCGTGCAAGCCTCCTGGGGTTGGTTCTGGCCATCATGTCAGTCATAATCTTCTTGGTGACTGACGAGACCTCAATGGCATCAGAGCCCACATGGCAGCCCGAGAGATTCATTGCATAGTCGTAATCCTCATTGCGGTTAAAAAAAAGAAAAGCTGTGTCTGTTCTGTTGCCTTCCTGGTCAAGCAGATGTAGAACGTTTTTGTGTGCAATATTTGGACATCCAAACAGTTCTTTTATTTCAGTCTTGGTCATCTTTTGGGGTAGATTGCGGACCATGACAACATGCTCCACAGTTGGTGATAAGGCGGTTGTTGAGTCACCGTCAGGTCTTTGGTTTTTTGGCGATTTAGATGCCAACCATTTGACAGGTCGGCTCCTGATCCGCAGTGCTGAAGTGGGTCTTTGTTTGTGATATGCCATTTCCCCAAGAGGGCTTTGCTTGGGTTTCATGCTCTCCCCAACATCCAAAGCATTTTCACATTCTTGCAGCGCACTGGTCCACATCTTCTCAGATGCTCCACGTACCTCCACACAGAAGGGGCCCAGTGACTGTTGGTTGAACAGGAGAGCATCACACGCATCCTGCATGTTTGCAAACTTCACAAGACAGCCATGCTTAAGTCCCAAGTTGACATTCACTATGGCTTCCTGTACAGTCAACCCTCTGAAAAAACGGCATATGACCTCTTTTGTAGCTGTGGCTGGCAGACCAAAGAGCCTGACGTAGCCTGGCCTTGAGTTCAAAGTTTGCTCTGGTGCCCTCACCTCAGACACGTCAACTGTGCTGTCAGTCTTGGGGAAATCAAGTTTTGGCACTGCCCCATTGTTTTCTCTTTGATGGGACGAGTGGAGACCTTGGAGGACGGTACAAATCCCAAGAAGAAATGCAGTATTGGAGTCAAGCGAGTTGTCAAGCTGTAGATTTGAAATAACAGGATGAAGAGGCTGTGGCAGATTTGCACTGTTGGGATCACGAGTCCATGTTGTAGTAGGTGGTACATCTGCAGTTTTGGGGTTACAAGGCTGTGACGGATTTGCAGTGTTGGGATCAAGTGGCCATGCGGTGGTAGGTGTTGGATTTGCTGTTTTGGGATTATGAGGCTGTGAATTCAAAGGTACCAGACTTGCATCTGGAGATGGCTTAGGTCTTTTGGCTTTAAACGGTTTGGGAGAAAGTTTCTTTCTCTTTAACAATGACTTTAATTTGTGTTCCAGCTCTTCCATATTGCTTATGTGTAGAGTCACCTTAGACCCTTTGAGGACATTTCCAGTGAGCCGCATGGCAAGCTGCGCATCTCTCTCAGTGGTGAATGCAATAAAAGCCTCTTTAAGACTTCCTCCCACTATGTACACGCCACCATCTGGTATGTGAAGGCATTTAAAGAATGTCCGTATATCTTCAGTACCAGCCTTCACATCAAGGCCTTCCAATCGCAGGATTATGGTCATTTTTCATACCAGGCCAGGTGGTTTCTGAAAATTAAAGACATGGATGGTGAGAAACACACACACAAAAAAAATGCAACAGTTGTAAGTAATATTAGGGTATTGGTAGGTATTACCGCAAGATACGCGGCCATGTGATACACGTGCGTCATACAGGAACACTGAAAAGAAAATGTGGGAAAACAAGTTTTCTGTTTCCACGAAACGCGCACAAATGCTCACCACGTGTGGGTTTTGTTGGCGTTGCTGTTGTTCTGTCTCAAATTAGCCGTGACTGACATTAAGAATACGTGCTAAAAACATTTAGTCTACCACTGCTTCCACGCTCAGCTGCGGAATGCACTTTTTTCCCTCCTTTTAAGTTCACTGGCCCTGAAATGTGTTTAAGCCGCATTACCGCCACCTACTGGACTGGAGTGCGGGCTACAGTCGGGACAATACAGGGTTCATTTATTTATCATTTTGTAACAGGGTTATAAATTAGATGAAGTTTGTAGTTACCTTTATACTACTCACAAAAGCAAACGCTATAAACAAAATTTATAAAATGATATACAGAAATAAATTATTTTGCATGGTGTCACCCTGAGGATGAATTTAAGAGAAATAGAAGTTACACAGCATTTAATGATCCCTGCAATGATCAGCACTGGATTAATAGCCTACAGACATCTTCCATTTGTGACAGCAATGATATCTTTATTTTCATACATTTCATTGAACTATTTTGTCCATTATGCTATTGGATTAAAAACCATCACACAGATCTTTCCAGATCCAATCAGAAAAATGCTTTTTCCCTCCACAAACATGCAGTTATCAGTCTGCAACCTTAAGATCAGACACAAGAAAATCAGTGCAAAAATAAATTAATATTCTTCAGCCAACATGGTCTGGATCCATGAGCCAAACACTGACCTCAATCCTCAACTAGAAAAGGACTACATTTTATGTAGAGAATAGCTCCAACTCAGTTCTGTGTCTGTGTTCTGTGTCTTTTCTCTTTACAGCTTCTTCTTCTGGCCCCCAGTAACTCAAACTTATTTTCCTTATATTGTAAATCAAGCTCTATCTAATATTATCTGAATGTTCACATGTTTAAATCTTACTTACTTGAACTCATTAGTGATGTCGTTCTCTCTCCCTTATGTAATCATGTTATTTTTTCTCTTCACAAGGAAGTGAACAAGATACAGCTGCAAGGCTGTCGCTTACATTTCCTGCCAAAAGTCCCCTATGACTCACACACACACTGTGGAAACTTACTGAAAATCTGAAGATAAGCCAAAAGAAAGTAAGCTCATTAATTACACATTTTTTACAGTCAACCCAGCTTAAAAATGTTCTTCTTCCAAAAAGGTTCTTTTTAGTTACTGTTATTATTATTGATATTATTATTTACTAACCTCAACAAAGATTATATTTTCTATTTCACTAAGATGAACTGTATCGTTTTGTAATTATATGTGAATATACTTGCAGAAACAAAAAGTTATGTATTTTATCAAACACTTATCAGGCCATATATTATTATGTCTTGCTTGCAGTCGACACAATTGCAAATTATGTCATTATATCATGTCATCCAAAGCGAACTAAGTCAGAATTCAGAGGTAGGCCTACTACGGACAAAGTCAGAGTTATGAGATGAATTTGGACTTAATAAAGATATCAATTTGACTTAATTTATCATAAGTTTGAGCTGCAGCTAATGATGACATAGATAAAGATTTAGGCCTTTTCAAAATAAATGTGATTATTTCCAGTTAAACAGAAAGTTACAAATATCTCTTTTTTCTTGCTTTTAAAGTTCAATTTAATTGCAATAGTTATAATAAAATTACAATACAGCTGTCGGACATTTAACCAACAATGTTCATTTTTGTTTTGAGTGACGCAAACATAGGACGCAAACATAAATTTGATTAAACGTCATCACGCAGGGTGAATAGGACTGTGGGTAAAAAGGAAGACCATTGTTTACCATGGCGACGGGGACGCTACCATTTGCTGTTAACACGTACAAAGGGCCGCTAACATTATTTCTTTTAATATGCCTAGATGTACTTAATTGCCAGCAGTTTATCATCTCTTTTAAGGCTCCTACAGACTGTAGTGTGGACGAATTTTTTGATATCTCGAGTCTCTCCTGTGTGAGGTGCGGTCCAAATCAGCGACGGAGCACAACAGGTCTGTGAAGTTACCATCATACAAAGAACTGACTTGTTGACGTTAAGTTACAAAACATGTACTTAGTCTTACTTTAAAACAGATTACCTTTAACTGTGAGGTGGTCAGCCACGCACGACGCAAATAAACCGCAATGAACTGGTGAGCTAACAGCTTGGTGCAAATGGCTATGGTACTTTCAAAATCAGTTCAGGACCAACAACATTAGGCAACATGAGAAAAATCCACCCTGAACACAGACAGTGCAAACAGTGTGCTGTTTGGATTAAAATGAAGTAACGTCAGTACCTGCAACCATAGACAACAGTAGTTTGGGGCAAAGTGGCTGAAATCAATCATTTAATATTATATATTAACGCTATGTTGTGATGTTATTAATCCATATCGATATGTATCTTTTATATGTTTAAAACACAAACTACTGATTATTTTGTTTTGGGTCTTTGTTTGTTCGTCTGACCAAAGGCCCAAAACCCAAATATATTACTATTACAAAAGTTAAGCCAAAGAAAACCCGCAAATCCTCATAATTGAGACGGTGGAACAAGTATAACTTGTCCACAATCATCAATTTGAACAACATAAACAACATGATACCTTCATATATATATATATATATATATATATATGATATAGCTGAAAGTCAGTGATAACATTGAAAAATCACCCAGCCGTAGACAATAGTCCTCCTAAACTAAATTAGACAGGACTTGAATTTACTGTATTTTTTTATCAGGGAATGTTTTTCTGAAAGAGGTCTGTGACAGTGAATTAGACACCAATACAGATTCTTGTTGATTGGTGCTTGGTGTCCTTAAAGCACTTCTATCATTCAGTCAGTCTATGAGACAGATCCACCACTCGCCTCTAGATGCTTCCATCACTACAGTTTATATCTTTGCTATTGAGATTAAAGCAAATGATTTCATTCCGCCTAGCCGCCTACCTGCATGCACTCAGGGGGAGTGTCTTTGAAGGGAGGGGATAGGATGTTTACAGTTGCAGATACTTTCAAATTCTGCCTGTCTCTTGCTAGTTCTCCAACATTAAGCTATAAATCCGTTGAAAGGCAGGCAAAAGCAACATCAAATCATGTAAAAGTAGATAGCAGACACATGTGTTGGCAACTGCTCCCCAAGATAACAGAACTAATGATTATTGCTTATTAAGTCAATAAAACTGCATTTTGATAAGCTACACTCTATTTGTCTTACACCCCTGAGGGGTTAATACTACAGTTTACTACTACTACTAGAGACTTGTTTTTTTTCTGAAGCAACAAATCAGTAATTACTTATCAGAAGGTAAAATGTACAGTAAAATAAAATAATAAATTAGAGAGGGCAGGAAATATTTTTTGAGCTATTCAAACAAACCGACCTGCAAGTGGAGAGCTGGAGTGAGAACAAATCCAGATCAATAATGATGCTCCCAAATCTGGTAAGTTGTGAAGAAAGATTCCTCTTCTTCAGGTAACTCCCAGAAAATCCTTAAATAAGGCTGAGGCCAACCCAATTTCTCTCACTTCTACGTCTTCACATCATTCTGGGGAGTCAAAGTATAATTGATACATTACTATAGACGGCCTGTCTTCGACGCAAATGGATTAGACTAGAGAAAAGGGAAGTAGAGCAGTAAAAAGGCAAATTTCACGACAGGGGGTTCTGGTGATTTCCTGTTCACTCTGCTTTTAATAACATGTGACCTTGGATTACTCGTGCCTACTTTTGCAATGAATTATTATTTATATTATTATAACTAGTTTTCAGAACTTGATTATGGCATAATAAGAGGAGTTTGATTATCATGAATTGATACCAAGAATGATTAGCCTTAATCATAACCTGATTATGTGTAAATGGGTTTCCATCACATTTATGGGTTTTTATCACAATTACTACGAAGAAGATGCAGCTGAGATTTGTTAATAAACTAATATCAGAGCATCAGAACATCTCTTGTTCACTCTAACTCTGCACTGGTTTCTTTCTTCTTGCAGGATTGAGCTGCATTTGCAAAACTGGCTACCAAACTCTCACCACTGATAAGGCGTCCATTACTTGTCAACAATGTCCCACTGACAAGCCTGTATGTGCAGTTTACCTTGAATGTCTTTATTTTCTGTTCACCTTACTTTATGCTGTAGATAATGCACCTCACACTCCCTACACAATTTCTAACACCATTTGTAAAACTTGTAAAAAAAAATAAAATAAAAAGTTGACTCTATTCTTGATTCGTGATCATACTTGACTTATATGAACCATATCTATTGATTGAATATAGTTTATATATAGTGTGCAAATATTTAAACATCTACGTAGACTGTTAATTGTATATTGATTGTGTAAAGTGTGTATATATATTTATACATGTACGTAGAATGTTACCGTTACTGATTGTACTTGTGTGTGTGATTGTATCTGTTCTTTTACATTCCTCTGTACTGCTTTGTCAACCTGAATTTCCCCAACAGGGAATTAATAAAGGTATATCTTATCTTTCCTTACAGGCAGTAACTAAAGATGGGTTTGGGTGTATTCGCTGTCCAGGCAGTCTCACTGATGAGGGCCAGTGCCAGTGCCCACCAGGCAATGTCCTGGGTGAGTCACCAGTGACACTAATTTATGAACTGCATGACTGCATTTAACAAACAGTCTTTAATGTTGTTTAATGTTTAATGTGCTTGCTTGATATTTGTATTTTACATATGAATGGCTGAATATTTGATGGGTTTTTTTCCAGTGGAGAGAGATGTCATTGGAAATCTTTTGGATGAGGCCAGATGTGAAACCTGTAATGGAAACGCCCCTGCTTTGTCTGTACCAAACATCAGTGGAGACCGGTAGGTATCAGTACCATACAGCGGAAACACGGATTTATTCAGTTATTTCACACTCAAGGCATCTGAGGTTGTACCTTTTAGAAATTATATGATCTGCATATGAACCGTATTGGAATACCAATATTTCACTCTCAACATAAAATAAAATAATCATATAATGGATAAAACTAAAAAGCAAATAAACTCAGTGCTGTCCTGTGAAATGTGTTACTGTACCGAAAGCTGTTGAGAGAATATGAGAGCTAAAGAACTTTTTTTTTTAAATTCCTGTAGCAGGTAATTGGTCTCTTGTTATGTGTCCATCTCTGTGGCAGTGTATCTTCCCTGTCCTCCTCC